GAGCATTTACATCTCTAGGAGTAGGATGTATACGTGCAATTGCTCTTCCAAGGTAGTCCCATAAGTTCTCTATCGGGTTAAGGTCAGGAGAGTTTGGTGGCCAAGGTATTCGCTTAATGTCTTCACTTTCAAGGAATTCATCAACGAGGTTTGCTCGATGTGGACGGGCATTATCATCCATAAATAAAAGGTCAAGTCCATATGCACCCCTGAAAAGTCTTACATAAGGATCTAAGACCTCATCTCGATATATCTGGCCTGTCACAGATCCGCTGCTGAACACGTGTAGGGGCGTGCGTCCATCGATCATTATTCCACTCCATACCATCACACCTCCACTACCAAAACGGTCACGTTCCACAATGTTCGAGGGATCATTTCGTGTTCCTGACTCGCTCCAGATGTAAACACGTTTAGAATCACCAGTTAAACTAAACCGCGACTCATCAGTAAAGAGAACATGGGACCATTGATGTTCAGTCCAGTTTTGATGTTCTTTACACCAATTAAAGCGATCCCTCTTTTTCTGTGAAGACAGTAAAACACATACCCTTGGCTTTCTGGCAATGTCTCAACGTACTCGTACGAGAATAATAAAATAAAGGTATGTCATATCTTTAATGTCTCATTCTATTCTTTGACTTTCATACACAACTCTGACCACAGTCGACAGGGGAAACTTATTTTTCAACTTACCTACGTAATATATGACTGAATAAGATACATAAATAACACTAAATTACTTAAACTACGTAAGTAATATACTAAGTATACATAGGATACACAAGTAACATATTAAGATCTTAAATAGCCTATGACTATCTAAAATGTATGCGTAACATACATGACCAAGTAAGATAACTCTTATTTAAAACATTTAGTGACACATGTAATAGAAATTCATATTCCTTCCTTTTGTTAACCTGATTTAATTTGTGAATGTTAACAGAAATCTCTTTCATTGCATACTTTACCTTTTTACGGAAACTTCTCAGACAATCGACATTTATTTTGTTTTTTATATATTTTGCTAATGCATATTCAATACAAATGATCAGAGTGCTTATTATAATGTAACGTCCTCGTGTATGAAACTTTTCCATAATTTATTTTTTCTGCCTACTGGGTTTACTTGATAACACAAAAGTCATGGATTTATTTTCTAATGTTTTAGGAAGAATGTGTTCGATTAACATGCCAGAAATTCTGACTTTCCACTCTGCTCACTTTTCTACCTGTCAGTCAGGGTTCCAAATGAGAACACCCGTAACTGCAAGTTTACATGACACTGACATAATAATTACGAAAGCTTCGTTGGCTTTTAATTATACTCATTTGACAGGTTGAAAGATTAACAGAAGATAGAAAATACAAGCTGAAAACTCTCATATTCTATTATTTTAACTGCTAAATAAAACTTACCTGCAACTTAACAATGCCATTTATTCATGATATGTTCAGATTAAATTTGGGAACACTGTAAGTCATATTATAACTTTATTATTTGACTTATATTTTTATTTGTAACTATTTGTAATATATCTGTGTAAAAAACAACTGAAATCTTTTTAATTTCTAAATTGTAAATTAAACGTACGTTTTTCCTCTCTGAAAGTTAGTTGTTCGACGCATTTAAAAGGTATAACATCCAATATTAGTCTTTGTATAAATGCTGGCTCCACAGAAATGCCAGCTTTTGATTAGTGTTTGAGGCTTTTCTGGGTTAATATGATGATATCATCATTATCACAGTAGATTAATGCGAGCGCAGACCTTTCAGTTTCTGAAAACTTTAGAAATCAGATTATGCAAATTTAAGGGAATGGGATGAACTGATGAAACTGTTGTTATGATGCATCAGTGTACGGGATTGTTTTAGTGTTTAGTTGTGCGAATAACTGCTCCGGCGTCTGAAGAAATGCATCGACAGGGGTGGAAATTGTGTTGAAACTTACTGAATAAATAAAATTACTTCGATGTGTACCTAAATTTCGTACTTCTCTGATTAAAAAGATCACAATTTACTCCATACAACGGTCTCTAAATAGTATGGAATCTTAGCATCTATAGCAATTTAGATTTGCAAGTTTGGCTTTGTGGTATTTTGGCTGTCATTCATAGTTATACACCTAGCCAACTGCAGAAACTCAACACTTTTGTCAACAAAATACTTTAAAGGTTAGATTTTTGAACATGGCTAAACCATGATCTAAATGTGCTGGAATGAGAGGATCACCTTCGTGGGATGTTTTTGAGTGTACAATTCAAGTGGGACAGTGTTTCCAAAACCAAAGGAAGGAATACAGTTGTGCCACTCGCATTGAAAGAATCCATGAAAAGCTTTATTAGCAACTGTGGTTACACTTAAAGAATATAATTAAATCAAAAACGATGATCATAATTATTTCATTCAAACAATAACTCAAATCGAGGTCGAATAGGTCGAAAAATTACTGGAATTTAGTGTGTTAAAACTAATATAACTTTTTTAAAAACTAAGAAATCAGCTCAATTGTAATTTCCCTTTTTCAATAAACATCAAAATTTCGATTTAGTTTTGGTTATGTAATTCTAAACGTGCAATAAATAAACATAAAAATTTAACGTTCTAGACTGAATATCAGTAGATTATGGTAAATTCAAATTGGGTACAACAACTTGGGAAGAAAGGTTTCAGTAAGCTTTTACAAAATCCTCTCAAAACACGATGCGTAAGAGATTATACGTGAATGGAAAACGAATTTTCTTTAATCTGCACATTTTATTAATTAATTCAATTTTCGCTTACGCGGGAATTAAAAAGAGCAAGGAAAGAATTGCAATTATGTCATTTTTGCTAATTTTTTACGAGGACTAAGGTTAAGTTAAACCACACGTTAGGTTGCGATTTACAAAAATCTGAACACGGGAAGGGAAACGAATAAATCCTGCCATAAGACAATAGCGTTAACTTTACAATCAGACAGCTTTCAAATCCTTTCAAAATCAAATACAATACAATTTACGTGGAATTTAGATTTTTACAGGGCTCAATTAAACACGGTGCGTTTGGGTGGCACGATTATTTTTTCCTATGTAATTAACTAACAATTTTTTAAAAAGGGGGGTGGCGGTTTCATTTTTATGTTTGAAATTAGATCATTTTGCATTCTTTATTCGACGGAGGGAAAAATTATATTCTAACTTCCCATAGGAATTATTAAAGGGAAAAATATTTAATTCAATACAGAAAATATTACATTTAATTTAAATTTGTCATATCTTTTTTATTCTGTGGTCGAACCGTTTTGTGCATAAAAATATCTCTATATAACTAATACGATCCCTCTCTGTTATTAATACATTTCTCCTAAAATGGGGGTACTTCCGCCCCTAGGGAAATGGTTGGATATTTGTATGGACAGGGCAATCATTTTAAAACTTTGCTGTTTATGAAATGATCTTCGGATACAAATTCAAACACCAAGCGTGCAAGTTTGCTCTCAATTTCTGCAAGTTGTGTGTGTGAGAAGCGTTTTTTAAATAAACATTACAATTACAAAAAAGGGGAATTTATTAAATATCAAGAAAAAAAGGTGTAATTTTCATTAAAAAGGGGTGGTTTTTTTTCTTTAAGTATTCAAACCATATTGTTGCTTAGCCGGGCACTCCATACTTCAAACCAGCAACTAACATAAAATTCAATCCCACAGCAATATCGTAAAATAGTTAATAGAGCATATATTTAGAATTTCTGATACACAGTCTCGCGCGTTGGAGATAAAAAAAAAATATTTTTTTTCCCCTATACAGTGCAGAAATTGTTTGCTCTGAAATAATTGAGTTTCTTAATCAAAAACTCATAAGTGCTTTACATAATATGAAATAAATAATAAGACAAATTCTAAATTCAAAACTTGATATTCCAAATGCCTATATTCGGGTGGAGAGTACGCTATTCATAATTTGATGGCTCTAGGTACCGTTGTTTTATCACCATTTGAGAAACATACACATATTTACGCAGTTCCTTCATTGTTTAATTTCTTTAAATATAATACAGGTGACAGGTGACGGAGGAGGGGGACACCTGATGTCTAACAAAGGTCCTACACCTTCCACTATCTTGAACCGACAACTCCCCAGTCCCAGGACAACATAACAATAATAATAATAATAAAAGTTTTTAAATGCATGAAATATGATCCATCAATAAAATACATTAATACATTGGACACACCATAAAGTTACATGAATACATTAGTTTTGTACTTGACAGCTTGATTACGGTAAGGCATGCATTACACCTATTCACATTCATTATTTGGGGTTTGCGTTATTTGAGTACATACATGCTTTGTTATAATATATACATAACTATGTTATGAATACCGTTTATACATTTAAATACTCTCCATTTGATGTCTCTAAATTCCGTTGTTTGCGAGAGAAACATACATGCATTCATGCAGATTCTTCATTATTTAATTTCTCTAAATATAATACAGGGCGATAATATTTGCTGGCAAAAATTTCAAAATTGATTCGCCGTTTATAGTGAATCGATGGAAAATGAGAAAACGAAATTAATAGCCCTTCTGAGCTAACGCTCCTTTGGGTTAAAAATTAAATTAAATTAAAAAGTAAGCAAACTAATAATATGATTTTGAAATGTAGGAATAAAACATTTTCTTCAAATTTAAACGTATAATTTTGTTCCCCTATATACTTTCGTAGCTATTTTTTTTCTATATCAAGAAAGGCTACAAAAAGACCGCTTCAGGCGGGCAAACTCAGAGACCGCCTCGGGCTGCCAAAGTTTTATCTATGCCACAGCGCATTTATCATTTTCATTAAAATGGTTGCATTAGTCTTTCGATTAAGTAAAATGTGTACTTTCTGATTTAATTTACTCGTATGAATAATTTTTAAAGCCTTTAAAATTAAAATTTACATTTCACTTAGTAACAATATATATATCATAGACTAATAGGACAAATTCTGTTGATCTCTGCTTTCAGATCTTTCTCCGTCATTAAAACTGACGTTCCCGGAGAAGACAGTCCGACCAGGAAGATATGTGTCCTTGACATGCATCGCCTCCGGACATCCAGAGCCCTTGATTCGGTGGTCATTGGACAACATATGGCCCCTATCCACACGCCATGGCGTTCTCATCAGCTCTTACCAAACAAGCAATGGGGATGTTGTCAGTTCTGTCAATTTCACTTCTGCGGACGTCACTGATAGTGGAGTATACTCTTGCGAGGCATCCAACGATGCTGGAACTGTTAGTTATTCTAAAAGACTCAATGTATTCGGCCCCCTCTTCATCAGAACTATTAATAATTTGACTGCTCTGGCAGGGGAAACATTTTCTGTGATATGTCCCTTTGGAGGATATCCTTATGATACGATACAATGGAAAAGAGGTGAGTGATTATTTTGCTTGCTTGCTAGGATAAAAGGTAATTCAGAAACGGCATTAAAAAATGTAAGTAATGCCGGTGTATGTAACGACTTTTAATATTTTGTGGGCAACTTTGCCTGACAAAAAGTTTGTTCTAGGAAAATGAACTTAGTGTCAAGAGTACATCGATATTTGAAGTCTAAGTTAAAAAATTCCGTTTCTACATACCATATATATATTTTCGTATTTTGAAAATTATTAATAAGTAAAGAAGTGGAAAGTAATAAAATAAATTAGCTATAAAGAAATTTTTAAACAAGATAGTTAATTAATTTTGATTTAGCATCTAATGCGAATTCATCTTATTCTCTATTTTCAGGCATTTAATTTCACGTTTTTTTATTTCGCTGCAACATTAAGAATTTATTAGCTACATAAAAACTTAACTTTTTTTTTCCTCTTTCAGTCTTTTTTTTTATTCATCTAAAATTACGTTACCTGTTTGTATGCTTGGTGAATGTATGATTTACATTACGGAATTTTTTTAAAAACAGATATAAACAAAGTCTTCATATATCCTATAAGGCAACTGATCAGTTAATTGTTTTAATATTTAACATTTTTTTATTCTTACTAGAGAAATGTTTTTTTCTAGAGACAAAAATGTTTTTCTATATTTGTGAAAATCAAAGAAAATTCACTTTAAATACGATTCAACCATATTGTTAATTATTTTTACAAGCAAGAATAAACTCTTTTTTTTTTCTTTTTTCCTCGAATTGTAAATTTTTTTAAATGTAAATTTTACTTATTTATTTAAATACACTGTACGATGCAATAAAATATATAATAATTATCTTAATTACTTTCTTCTGTTACAAATTATTCATTAATTTGTTAGCGAATATTTAACCGTCCTCATTTCAAACTAACTGATACTTTAAAAAAAATACCCCTATAGTACCCTACTAAAAATGTCCTACCATACGACTGTTATAGAGTTACTAATTATGATACTATAAAACTTACTAACTATGATACTATAATATCTCTTTACTTATTAAATAGTACTACTTACCTTTAAATTTGCCTTAAAAAGCAATATTATCTAATATTTTTTTAGAAATAAAGTTGTTTCTTGAGGTAAAATAGCACTTTTAATCAGAAGAACTTCTGTCGCTGAAATAAAAGTTTTTAGTATGGAGAACAATTTCAAATATATTGTTATAACTACGTATTTATAATGTTGTTGTTATTGTGTCTATGATAAAGCCTATTAAAATACGGCCATGGGAGGAGATTGCAGCCATGGCCATCTGCAACATGTTTCCATCATGGGGGTTCGGACTTTTAAACAAGACCCCGAGTTTTAGTAATTCAGCAAGGACGGCCAGACAACAAAAATGTGTGCATTTGTCAGTTCTGTGTGCGGGAAGTTATCACAGTTGATATAGGTTTTCTCTCTGTCAATTTTAATCCTCTATCCTGGCTAGTTCTAAGTCTGACAATCAGTGGAGATTGTCAGACTTAGAACTGGAGCTGGTGCGTTATTTGAAATGAAAGTTATTTCAATCTGTATTTTTGCCATGGCATTTGCGTCCGTCAGGGTGACATTTACGTTATTACTACTGCTGAGATTTCGATCCTCTTTTGCCAGTTTACCTGCTAAACTATTTATAATACAAGCACCATAAAACACAGTTCTCGTAACAAGGAAAGGAAGAAAGTTTGGTACTTGCACAACAACTTTGGCGCAGTTAGGCGAATTTTATATAAAGAAGGGCTGGAACAATGGCTTTTTTTGTAAAGGAAAACATTTATTATGTACATTCGTATTATTATGTACATATTTTACATTTCAACTGTGCTTGAATTTAAAAAAACAATCAATTAAGCATTTGATAAGGCGGGCTTTTATTTTCTTTATTCTGGTGGAAATTTCGTGGTGACTATTTTGAAAAGAGATTCGAAGTATTGCTCTTAATGATTTTGTAGCAGAATACTGTTTTCCTGTCGAAATTCAGACGCAGGCAAATCCCACAAGCACATATTTTAAAATCGAGCTTAAGACAAAAAATAATCACGGTTTGTCCACAAAAGCTTCTGTTATGTGTGTGGTTGTCAGAGTTTGGCGCATTCTGAAACACTAGAGATTTCCAGTAAGGTGATTCCGATAATACCCAAAGTTTTAATATGTGAGTGAGAATATTATTTTAATAACTGTCAAAGATCTTCATCTGTCATACTACTTGAAACCTGGAGATTATTCATCAGCTTCTGCCAAATAGGTTTAGAGGAGCTGTATATTCTAACGTATAAGAATTTCCCTTCACATCTAAACTTTATGCACTAACTACAAAAGAATAATAGCGAATTCAAATATTGGTTCAAAACATGCATTTTGAAGTCTGTCGGTAGAATTCTGCTGTGACTTAAAAACTGTGACATTGCCCAAAGAACCGCAAAAAAAAAAAACTTAAATATGTTTTTAATTTGCATGGAGCAGCTGAGAAAGAATAAGTCTCTACTCCTTATTTTAAATCTGCGCCTCGGGTAAATCGTAAAGCACATTAAGACTTATAAAACAAAAAGTTTCACCATAGTTCCATGACTGTCATCAGTACTTAAACTGAACTGGAGCCTACTGAGCTCGAGCCTGATACTTCTTTAGTTTTTGAGATAAATCGTAACTTGAGCCGGAACGCACTGCAGCCCTAAATAGGAGGACTGTGGCACTTAGTTTACGTAAATGAAAACCAATTTCAGTGGAAAATTCTTTTAATCTTTAAAATCTTATTTTAATAATAAGTAAGCCTTAAAAATCGATTCTAATTTCTCAATGCGTGGCTCTCTTTCTCTGGCAAACAAGCCCTTTATCAGAGATTTATAAGGAAAAGATATATTTTAAAGATAAGTAAATCTTTCATTTCCAAAAGAATTAGAAGTGATCATCCTGGCCGTGCACGTCCAACGTTTGCTACTTGTCATGGAAAAGAGCACTTGCACACTTTTTGGAATGATGGAATAAAATATGGAGGACGAAAATTGTCATTTGTACCGAATGTTTTGTTCTCAGCTACCAGATCAATCCTCAGGTTGGATAGATTTTCCACTATCACATTCTGCTTCACAGCTAGAATTATATCGGAAAGGCATCATGGTCATGAATTCTTCGATTATTTTTATACTTAGATATCTCTGTTATAATTTCCTTCCATACTCTCATACTGTTATTAGAATTCTCTCCATTTTCATCAGTGGGACTTTATCTGGGTTAATTTTCACATGAGTTATTTTTTTGGTTTTTGAGAAAAATTGCAACTCAAGTCGGAACTTGAAGTACGACGAGGTCTAGTATTTTATTCTGATATTTAATTGTTTACCATTAATTTAACAATTTGTGGAATTTTAATTTATCTTTTGATATTTTACCAAATATTAATTATTTTAATCCAATTTTTATTTATCTTATTTAATTGTTTATTCCACTTTCCTGATGGCTTTCCATAAGACTCTTGCATTTTTTATTTCAGAAAATAAGCTCTAACGTAAAAGACGTGGGTTTTATTAAGCTCCTTGCAAATCTATATAAGAAACGGGAGTTAATGTCTTTTGTCCTGTAACTTCAAAAAACGTGGAACATATTGTTGCTATATCTTCTACCACCGAAAATAATCACTGTGTTCATCCACAATAACATAGTGTCTAAGAGGAATCCGAAGCCTTCCACTGGACTTGCTGGTTCCGGTGGAGCTTACAATCTTGGGAAGGCAAGGTTAAGTGTTGCACGGTGGTGCAACATGCTCCGTAATTTAGTCGAACGCCAGTTATAGGGTTATGCTTGATCTATTAAGCTACTTTATTTAACACTAACAGACGTAAAGCGAGTTATCGGTACTTCTGAGACAGAAAGGTGAAGTCTTAGGAAGTTTATAAAAACAATATTTTCATTTAAACAGATCACTGAACATAAAAATACAACTTTTGTGCCACAAGAAACACAGCTCATAAAAATGCAAATTAAAATAAGCATGGTCAATAAATTCAAAAGTTGTGTAGTAGTCTAAGTCTATGCAGTCAAATGTTAAGTTCTAAGCTAGCTCAATAAATTAAAAATTTGAGCAGTAGTCAAAAATTAAACAGTCAAATACTAAGTTATAACCTGGCTCAATAATTTCATGGAGCATCAGATTAAAAGTATTGAATGATTATAACTGCTAGAGCTGGCAGAATTTAACCACGCAACGCGCTATGCCACGAACACACTCTTTCCAAAGATCCAAAAACCTTAGCTTATGTACTCAAACAACTAATTTGCATTCTGGTGAAGAATACGGAAAGGAGAAGTTACAGTAAAGACCGAAGTTGTAATAACTGGTTTGGTTTATTTGATTATGACAAAGCACTCGAAGGTAATTTGAGTAAAGGGATGGGTGCTTGAGTCGAAGACTTTCTAAGGGAAACTGGCTCGTATATACGTTACACTGGGAAAAACTAATAACTGACAATTAACACAAGGTACTCTATATAGTTAATCATGTATTTTTATTTTATAACAAAATTATATTTTAACATCAATAATTACTGTAATAATTCACGTATCTAGAATTCTCCAATGTTGCCATATAATTTTCGATGACTTGAGCAGCCAAACTTCTGCTGTAAATAAATGCATAATTTAAATTATTCTGTCCATCTGCATATATATTACGAACAGCTTCGTTTATTAATATGCGATAGGATAAAAGCCCCCTGAAAGATTTATTCTTATCTAAACTCGAATAATAAGGAATGGAAACTGCATCCCTATTTCTATCGAATCAGTAAAATTCTTTTACAATTTGCTGAATCCCCAACATTTGCAAATATGGAGATGTACTTTGCCCATCGACTTGTAGTCCGAAAGCCGCCAATCAGGAATATTTCATAACAAGACCACATATTTATATACTCTCCCTTATTAAAATGCTATCACGTTGCCAACTCTGTCGTTAAAATTTCCTCGAGTTAATGTTTGTTCTCATGCATTAAGCGAACCATCGAGTTGGAGTCAAGGCAATTAACAGGAACCCTCTGAGATGCTCGGTTGTCATGGGTTTAAATGTACGCATAATTAACGACTAACTATTCCATCAAAGGCTGAACTTTGTGATAAGTTGATTTCCCTCCCCCCCCGCATTTATGCTTTATTTATTCATCGCAAGCGTCTGGGAGTACAAGAGAGTCCTTGAGTAATTTTCGAGTTTGGGAAAGATGTTTAAGGAAAGACGAAGAGCGAGTTAATAATTCTCACGCGCTTGGGCAAATTTCTTCCTGAAATGTAATATCATACACGTAAAGGAATCTTCAGGAAAGATTTTACACACACATCTAACTAGGTATCTCGCTTTCCATTCCTTAATGTAATTTATATTTACTTGCTACTATAAATGCTCTTGAAATATATTTCTCTAAATATATGCATTTTCTATGCGTGACATTTGAAATGTTAGTCAACTGCAGAATTTCAAACTAGACTGAATTATAATATAACACTGTCCACATAGTATTACAACCAATTTATAAAAGTTGCAAAACAAGCTTAACGTCAGCTTGAGCAGTTTAATTTAGATTTCGACAAATGCAACACTTTAGCGCACTTAAATCTCTCGTTTTTATGCCTTCATCTAACTGTCTATCTCACTTTCTATTTCTTAATGGGATTTATATGCACTTGCTACTGTAAATGCTTTTGAAATATATTTCTTTAAATATAAGCTACTTCTATCCACGATATTTGAAATGTTAGTCAACCAAATAGTTTCAAATTAGACTGAATTATAAAATAACATAATATAAAACCAGTTTCTCCAACTAATTCCTGTAACAACCAACTTTTGTAACATAATGTTACAACCAACCACATAGACTTAATACGAGTTTATTAAAGTTGCAGAACACAATTAATGTCAGCGTGAGCAGTTCATTTTAAGTTTTTACAAACGGAACCCTTTAAGGCGGACATTTTCTATTTAGTTTGCATTAAGCAACTAATAATCCATCCATATATTCGTAATTCATAATCTGTGCTTCAAACCGACATAAGTATTTTATTTACTCTTAAAATCAAAAGGTACTTTTACGAATATTAAAATAGTATTTTATAAGATCTCGGCATATAAAAGAATATATATATATATATATATATAATATATATATATATATATATATATATATATATATATATATATATAATATATATATATGTCTATCCTTTTTACTCATATATTATCCATGTTTTTGCCCCGCCGAAAACGTCGCGGCAAAAACATCGCGGACGAAAGCGAATAATCGCTTGAGTTCGTGTTATAAAAACAACAAGTAAGAAGGATGAAATAACCGTTTATTTAGTCCAACTAAAGTTTAACAAAACTCCGTCTTGGAGTTGTGCAATAAAGCCCGAGGCTTTATTGGGCTTGAGCTTAAGAGACTAAGAATTAAACTAAACTAATCTTAACTGAAAAGATATGGCCGAAGCTATCATATTCCTAATAGAGTTGGCCCCTTAGCGCTAACTGACTACGAAGCTATCAAGAGCCTAAAGTACGGCAGAGCGTAAAAATAGCTTAAGAGAGAGTAGCCTAAAAAGGCGGATGCGTGCTAGCCAGAATCACTGGTTCTCTCTAACTAAGACAATAGAACTCCACGGTTAAATACTACTCCTCAAATTTGCATTCAAACGAGATTCTAAAAATACGTTCTGGACGGAAGTTGTAAGTTAATTAAGAAGCGAAAGGAAAGGAACTTTAACTCAAAATTTAACTGTTAGAAAAATTAACTATAATTATGGTCTCTAAACGACCTTATTTAGGACTTTAAGTCTAAATCTTTCTAATGTTAAATGCCACACTTCTAACTCTTTGCATTAACTAGATTTCACTTTAAACTTTTGTACTTGGGCCAACCTTACAGCAAATCTAAAGCTAGACTAAAACTAGAATTTGACAAAATTTCGCGAAATTTCAATCACAGTTTGGTACAATCATCTGCTTCTTCTTTCGTTTAATTCCAATAAATATTATTGGTCCTTCCAATTTATATGGAAGGAAAAAATATCAGTACTGTCTTATACAAAAATTTCCATATTCCTTACAATTTCCTCCTTTACTAGCATCATTCGGCCCTCATACAACTTTCATTCATACTTAAACTTCTCTTACCCTCAATGCTCTCCAGAAATTGTTCTGAAATGTACTTAGGGTACTTATGTTGTGTTACCTCGAACAAAAACTACCGATACTCATTGTCTAACATAGTTAAATTTGACATACTAGACCTCAAAAGACTCCCTATCCAAAAGCACTTTCCTGATGTACTAAGCAAGAGTTAAATTTAAATTTAAAGTGTTAGCTGCAGAGCCTAACATTAAACGCACATATATATTCTAAAACATTTATTTCTTTCACAAATTCGTTTGCACGATTGCCATAATTTATCTTTTGTACAAGCTTAAATTTACGACACTTTAACACAGACATTTAACATTTTCTACTTTAACATAAGCATTATCAGATATTTACACATCACTTTTAAATTCACTTTACATCAAAAGTCATAGTTGCTTAAGGCCCATCAGCGGCCAAGCGGTAAAGACGTTGAACACTGGTAGTTCGGTCCGAGGTTCGAATCCCGCGAACGGGCTGGCTGCATGGGCGTTTTCCTGGTTTTCCCCATGTGTAACGTGTATACGAGCCAGTTTCCCTTAGGAATCCTTTACGAAGGCATTCCTCCCTTTAGGCAGATAGCCCTCGCCCTTGTGTGCTTTGCCAGAACTGAATAATCCACTAATCCATAGTTGCTTAATTATAATTTATCATCTTTTCCGGAAATCTTAAATTTAAGTTAACAGATTTCACTATTCAAATAGTCTTTCAGACTAAAAGATATTCATAATTGGATTCTCGCAACTTGCGAGTTCTTAACAAAAATATTTACTGCTCTTTTCTCGCCAAATTATAAGCATAAAACTGTTTGATTACAAGCTATATA